CCGAGTATCAGGTCATGAGATAACCCTGGTATTACATGTGCATATAGCATGCGCTCGTATCCGTCAACGTCTAGATCCATCTTAACCATTTCCGTAATATACTCTTCGTGGTGCTGATTTTTTGTAGCCTCGGTAAGCTTTTGTGGGTTAATTTTTATCCGAGGAAGGTTAGCTCTGCGTACTAAGGAGTTGCTAACAGCAGCTAGACATTTGCATCCATTGTCAATTAAAGTAGGTACTGAATAACTTCCATTAATTAAAGTGTCTATAATAAAAGACGACCCATTCATAATGTACTCTACATTCTTATCTTCAATTTCATTTGAGCCTATTGCCATGTTCGAAACTTCCCTTTCAGGCCCCTGAACACGCCTTTGTTCAGGAGCTAACCTTTTAACTCATTTTCCCCTACAATGATACCTTCCACAGCAGCATTGTCTTCGATGAACGTTACAGCTTGGACTGTAGTTTCGGGACGTTTAGCTGGGAGTAGATTACAATTTGCTATAATGTGCCCTTTTCTTCCACATCAAAGGCATGCACCATTTGTTCTGCGTTGACTCAACTCGGCAAATGAAACCCATTTTGCACGTACTTTATTTACACCGGTCATCCTTGTATCACCATCCTGATCTTTACTGTTCATGTTGTCATTGACAGTTGGATGATAAAGATTCCCTTGTGTAGTTCCTCCGAGTAATTTCCCCCCTGCAATACCCCGTGTTCCATTGTCGAAGTACCCAGATTGACCAAGGAGGTACTCTTTAGTTCTTGTTGTACCAACTTCTTCCATTTTCGAACCTAACAATGATAGATACTCAATAAGTTCACGGAAGGTTTTCGGTTGAGAACGACCGATCATGTGATTCCTTGTCGTTTTATTGAGCAAATTTCGAAGTTGGTAAATTTTATTCTTGTTGTCTCCCGTTGAGCTGGGACTTTGTGTTAGTAGTTGCTGAAATTGCGGTAGGTATAATGACAAGTTCTCATCCCTAAATTGTCGGCATGCATGGAAAAGCGCAGCCGCAGATTGTTCTTTGTTTCCATCACGAAAGGCGTCATCCATGGCCTGAAGTAAGCCTAAGGCATCCCATATTGCGTCGTTGGCAAGCATATCTTGGAATTGGCCAGTGATCATATCCTTGGCAGTTCCAGTCACTGCATGGCTGTAAAGCTGCATGAAAAAATCCGATGGTTCGAGTATGTTGCGCTCCTCTACATTGTGCTGATATATGTACCAAAGGATTCCGTGTGTGGTAGTCCACTTAGATCTATCCTTGTGATCATAAGCTTCCGGCCATTTCAATGGTTTTTCTTTGCCTAATGGCTCCCTTTGTTCTGATGAACGACCAGGATTAGGTATCACTGGCTGCAGGGGTACCTGGTCATTGTTCTGCGACTGTTTCTGCATGGTTGACATCATTTGGTTCATTTGTGCTTGTAACATTGCCATATCCCTCCTGTGTTCTGTATCCCTTCGTCTTATTTCTTCAATCATTTTTTGCATGTCTGTCTGAGTTTCTTCATGTTGCATCGATTCCTGGTTTGACATACCAGTTGCAATGAAGCCCGTTCCCATTTCAAGATTGTCCATGTTGGGACCCCTTATTGATTCTTCGAATCCCTGTGCTGATTTAAATGATAATTCACTTAGGCGACTCGATCGTCCAGAGCTAATTATCCCGTCCGTTGATGTTGATGGAGGAGCGAATGTTGGCATCCACTTCCTTGGCAGTCCTAAGTCGATTAATCTGCTAACTGTTCTATTCAGATGAATTGAAAATTTCCCTAAGTCACAATAATCTAATGATGCAATATACTTAATAACGGGCCATATATGTGAATGATAGAGTTTATACTGTGATAGAAACCGAGCTGGTAATGAAAAAATCGATTTAATAAACTCTATGAAGAAGAGAAATCTAACTACAGCTACAAGGTACTTATAACATTTTGTCCACTCTATGAGTCTCGTTGCTTATACCTTTTCCTTAGGTCGAATAATTACCGCACGGCTACGCATTGCCCATATTCACTGTGCTATGACATTGCTTCGATCCCAACAGTCTTATCCTCAGAGTCCTCAACAATGCGCTTAGGTATTCACCTAAGTTTAAACAACGGGTAAACCGTAACACTGCTGCTATACCTTTAGGCACTTTATGATCCTCCACAGTTATGCCTGTGTCATCTGCATTTGCCATAGCTGAGGCACCATGATTGACCCCTTGAAGTAGCCTAAGAAAGGTATCACAGTACATATCTGCTGAAGTTGTGAACTTGTGTTGGAATAGTTGCCTCAATGCCTTTTCATAGGGAGCGGAGGCAGATGTGGCTCGAGTCAATGCCAGTGATTTGTACAGTTCTTTTTGTTAAAGTTATGAGCTTGAGCAAAGATGGAGGTTGTAGCGGAATCAGTGTCGGTGGTTAGACCGATGCAGTAAGTCTTGTATGAGGTTGTGAGGGGAAGATCCGAGAGGAAACAATTGTATTTAGATGTATGGTTCTGAGTAAAAACCGAGATGATAAGAGTGAGATTGCGTGTTTGCATATCTTATCAACTGTAGTTTTTGACCAGTATTTATCAATCTCCATAGATCGTAAGTTATGATCCCTGTCGATGTAGATCTATGTACATACACATATATGAGCCAGGAATATAAAGCTAAATACATGTGTGTTGGTAATAGATACGAGAAGACTATAACCTGCATTTAAGGAATAGTTATCTGCTGGAGTTCTAGTGTGAAATAAACGCTAATGCGCATTAAACTTTCGGTGAAGGATGTATTGATAACAGTGATATAGAGTGGGGAATTTGAAAGTCTAATTAGCCAGACTTACTAATAGGTTATTCTTAGCATTCCAAGATATATCATATTTCATCACTTTTGGTGTCAGCATGTTGCACTCATCGGGGATCAGTTCGGGGTATCGGCGAGCTACAATTGCCTGCTTAGCTTGGATTTCTCCGTGCGTCCAGACCTCGAACTTGTTCTCGAATTCTTCGTAAGCGGCAACCCAGTCATTCCTCTGCTGACCTTTGAACAGCTTTGGCTCAGTCGGCATAGGTATTTGTCTTACTCCTTTCATATCATGAAATACATGTCCAAGAAGTCTGATAGTGCTGAGTCGTCCCTGTAGACCGATCCTCCGCGCTGTGAATGACACTCCTGGACTGAGGATCAACTTATTGTGGTCTACAGAAGAATATAACTGTGACGCCATTGAAGCACCCGGGCTCATAACTTATTATGGTTATACGTTATGGGGTATAATTGTGAAACCTGAGGTGACGTTCTGGCTACAGTACGTGTGTGGGTTCTAAGAGATGCGATGAGTAACTCATGTAATAAATGGAGAAAGATAATATAAGAGTAAGTGGATATATGAGTGCAGGTGTGTGTAATAGTCCTAATGACAGGTGTGTGTGTGTGTGAACTATGTACCCTACTAACTACGTACTAGGGAAGAATAATGCATTCTGCGCTACAGTGGCCGAGCCAGTCTCTCAGTGTTCTTTTTTTTCAATGTTGAGCCCAACATTATCATGCATACCCTTGACTGTCCACAGTTAGACTAGTGTGTTTTCATATCATAACTGTGACGGCTCGTGAGCCGATAAGTCCTGTAGCCTTCGATGGCTATCTGTAAAGGGTTTAAAGAATTCAGAAGTACTTGAATGACGTTTACTCAATAGGAATTGATAATTTTTCCTTGTGAAGCTAATCTGCCTACGACGGCTCCTGTCCTTTATGTCCTCCTCAGCGTCGCGTTTAAGCTCCCCTCCTAGCCTACCTGAGAATACTCCATTCTACCCGGCTGCCTTCTTTCCTGTGACATCCTCCCCCCCTTAGTACGTACTCCCTTGGGTCCTTCCTCATGCGCAACCTTGCAATTATCCTTATGCGACACTTAGATCCCTCTTTGTGCGTATCCTTGCATACTTCCCCATGCAACCTTTCGCGTCTCTGTAAGCGCTGCTTCGTTGGCGCTGAAAGATCTAGCCGGGTTGGTCCTAGTGACCACACCCAATCCGGGCACAGCCCGTAACACTATTGAAGGCAACCTATATTCTCTATCACTCCGAGGATTATCAGTAGACGAAAACTGATACGAGATTGCCACTGAAGCTACGTAAAGGATAGTGCCAAGAGTATCGGAAGCGTTACCTGTGTGGCAAAACAAACCTTTAGTCAGTTTCATTGCCACTGTAAGTGTAGGCTAGATTTAGATACCTCTGGATGTGTATAAGTAGTAGAGTAGACTTGCAGGTAGTTTGCTTCTACATAGATGAATTATAGCTTTACCTTTCAATCATACAAATGCCCATTCGCTTTCTATATTTGAACTGTGACAATAATAGAAATACTACCTCTAGACAAAAGACCATTGTGTGCTGCATCAAGGTTTCTTTGTTCACTAAGCTTCTTTGCCTTCTATCCTCAAATCCATGGCAGACAAATACTTTAGTATGCTGAGTTGTTCTTATTTCAACTGGATAAGTTTTATCCTGCATTATTTAAATATAACGTAGAAATTATGGTGTACAGAGATGAGTCAGGTGATGGTTAATGGCAGTTATTGATGAAACCCTTTTGTTGTTAAGTTTCCTATTATTTCTATATTGGGATATACTTTGTCAATCCCACTAGGCTCGATAATTAGTATTCCCAACCGACTGGTGATTGGCGAATGGAGATTGTGTATACCCTGTGCTAGCGTTTTTTACTGTTGTTAATAGGAGATCCCGCACGGGCTATATGTTGGGATTAAAAGAAGCCTGGTACCTGTGTTTAGAAGATCAGTCAAATTGATACCCTTTTATCCTTCATTAGTGCATAAGCCTCACTCTACCAATAAGTCCACGAACTAAGTAGTGGGTTATACAATTTAATATATAATATCATTAACATATGCCAGTTAAACATAACATCAAAGCTTATTCTCTCCAGCATTGGTCCCAAGAGCTGTAACAGTTTATGCCCTGTTTTGAGCTATCATAAACACTTCACTGTGGTTTGATCGGAAAAATTCCCATCCTCTGTCACAGTAACCCAAACGTTTAGTACCCCGTCTTTGCCCTCGGTAATATAATTGCTTTTATCTATAAATAATTCAGTTGTCATGTTGTCTTAAATCAAGAGAGACTTCTAACAATTTTTATTCCATTCATTATGAGCCCCAATGGGAATTAGATATTTGTAGCCAAACTTTTTAGCCCTATCTTGAACAAATTTATTTGGAGATTTCCGTTCAGCTCCAGTTTGATTTAGTTGTCTGATAGCTGCTTTGATGTCTTCCATTGGGTCTGCAAGCTTCAATGAACCAGATGACGACCTTGGGAACAGGATGGCAGTAGAAATTGATGTTGCTTGACTTAGCAGCACAATAATTCCGGTAAGATTTAGCAACTTCATATTGTTCTAGCCAAGATTAACTTTAGCACAAGATATAAATTTTATCTGGAATCTCACTTTTACTTCTATGAGCTCAATTTATGTAACCTGAAGAAGTGGAATGGAAAATAAACTCCGTGGAGTAGAAATTTGAATGAGGCTGGTTTCTGGGGACTAGAATGTGTTGGAGTGGAAGAGAGGATGGTTAAAATTTGTGAAATTAGGACCCCACTGTTATTTAGAATATTATAGCTGTATGTTGAAATTATGGAGTACAGAGATAAGTCAGGTGATGGTTAATGGAAGTAATTGATGAAGGGTTTGGTTGTTGAGTTTTCTATTATTTCTGTGTTGGGATACACTTTATCGATCCTACTAGGCTCGATAATCAGTAGTCCCGACCGACTGGTGTTTGGCGAATGGAGATTGCGTATACCCTGTGCTAGCGTTGTTTACTGCTGTTAAAAGGAGATCCCGCACGGGCTATCTATTGGGGTTAAAAGGAGTCTGGTACCTGTGTTTAATAGAGTAGTCGAATTGACATCCTTTTATCCTTCATTATTGCATAAGCTTCCCTTTACCAATAAAGTCCACGAACTAAGTAGTGGGTTATACATTTCAATAGGTTATGAGACTCGGTGCACATGCATTGAAGTAGTAAAAGGAAACGACCCCTGGGACCGTGAGTAATTCAATCCCTGACCCGACTTCTCCGGTGCAACGCAAAGCACAAGCAGTCCATTTTATCAACCTTTTCTCGGGTGCGTGAAGCACAAGATTAGGTGCGCGTTCGACAAGATAATTATAAAAAAAAAAAAAAAAAAAAAAAAAAAAACTTACAGTAACCTCCACCCCGGCTTTACAGAGAATGTCGGAAGAAAATAGCTGGGGTATACCTGTCCTGAATGGAAAGAATCACGACTCTTGGTTCCGCCATTATCAGGTAAAATTAAGAGGAAGAGGGGTATACTATGTGGTTACCCAAACATTAACAAATGCATGTCGAGTGGCATCCTCTCCAGATAATGCTAAGAATTTTCATGACCCCATTCTAAACATAGATAAAAAAGAGAAGTACCTTCGAGATGAGGGAACCGCAATCGACTTAATGTTTAGATCACTTTCTCTCGATGATCAGGCCTTGTATGATGAGTACGACTCCGCCTTCAGTCTTTGGGCCTACCTTCGTTCAAAATACCAGCAGACTGATTCGACCACTGCTAATGAGTACATGACACTCATCCAGAATTTCTCCTTTAATGACATGACAATCATTCAAGGATGGGATAAGTTAAAAGAGTATCGACGGAAGTTGTGCGCGGCTGATGTGAGATCAAAACACTCTTATCAGGACGAAGCTTTACTTTTGATTTTAATACGATCCCTTCCGAAGGAGTATGTTGCAACAATTGACACTCTTGACGCTATGAAAGAGCTTCCAGTGGAAGAAAAATTAAAGCGGCTTCAAGCCAAAGAGAGTCGTCTTATCTCAAGCCAGCGTAATGAGAATGCATTTCCTAGCTTCAAAAATGATAAGAACCGATCCTCGAGAGACTTACGAACAACCTCAGAACAGAGCGAAGATTCAGGATATTCTCCACCGTGCTACTTATGTGGAAGAAGACATTTTATCAAAGCCTGCCCTTTTATGGAGGTCGCACAAGATGCTGTCCATGAATACATTAGAACAACAAAATCCATTCGCATTACACCGAAGCAGAGGGATGCAGGTCGTTCTTTGTTTTCTCAGGCCTGTTCTCCTTCACAAATTCGATACCCGAAAAAAGTGGAAAAGAAGGCTGGCTTCAAAGGCAAGGACAGGGCATATGAAGCTTGTACGAATTCTGACTCGGAAGTTGAAGAAGATTCGGATTTAGATTCAGATGTTCTAACCCACGAACACGCTCAGATATCTCGAGCACTTATCAGTAAGGCTACTCCATCTACTTGGGCCAGTGATACCGGCGCTTCTACACACATGTCTGACGATTTATCTCTTTTCAGATCGCTAAAGCATATTCCACGGCGAACTATCATGGTGGGAGGAGGAAAATTGTACGCACGAATAAAAGGCGATGTTAAAATGACATGTGAAGATGGATCTTCTATGTACCTGCGAGATGTACTATATGTACCATCGCTCGGGATCAATTTGATGTCAAGTAGACAAATCTGCCGCCATGGAGGACTGAAAGGTGCCTTTGATGAGAATCACATGTACTTCAAAAGAAAAAATCGTACAACTATAACTGCTACAATGCGTAATGGGCTTTATATAGTATCTCATATCAACAACGTGGATCATGACCAAGCACTTCAAGCGACAAATCCTGACCAAACTGCGGATGAAATGATTGTTGACGAGGAACTTTTAGATAGCAAAGAGCTCACAAGTAAAGAAAGAGAAAGATACATACTCTATCACCGAAGATTTGCTCATCTCGGTCCCCAAAAGCTTAGAAACTTACAACTAGTCACAAATCTCTCACGTCCGATCAAAGTTCCTAGTTCTAAAGAAGAGCGCGTATGTGAAACTTGCCTATTGACAAAGATGAGAAATCTTACATCTAAAAAACTTTCGCCTTGGAAGCTCACAAAATTAGCCTTGATACATTTTGATATAGCCGGCCCATTTCCACCGTCCATTCGCGGAAATAAATATTTTATAATAATACTAGACAATTTCTCTAGAAAGTTATGGGCTCTATGTTGTAAAACAAAGAGTGAAGCATTTTCAGCTCTTGACCAATGGAAAACTTCTGTGCAGCTACAATCAGGAGAAAAGATAAAGGCTGTACGTTCTGATAATGCGGCTGAACTTCAAAAAGTCATCTCAAAGTGGTCACTAGAACAAGGAACTCGTTCAGAACCAACCACAATCGGAACATCTAGCCAAAATGGGCCTGCGGAACGAAGTATTCAAACATGCGAAAATAGCATGAGAGCAATGCTTAAGGACGCAGATTTGCCACTTGAATTTTGGGACGAAGCTGTAGAAACCGATGTGTATATTCGAAACCGCACCCAAACAGGCCCCGTAATAGATGGAATACAAGTGAGCCCTGAAGAGGCATTTACTGGTATCCGACCTGACATTAGCCATATTGCAGTTTGGGGGAGTAAATGTATCTCGTATATCAACCCTCACACCATAGCCAAAGGGCAAAGAACAGATAAACTGGTTGATAGGGGGCGAGTTGGTGTCTTCATGGGCTACAGTGATACGACAAATAAACAATTGCGCGTTTATAATCCCGAACTTGGATACACATCAAGGACTAGTAGGCTCAATGTTATGGAACACATTAAAGGTGGAACGGTAGAACTACGATTTCGAAACTGCACGACAGGCCCTCAAGGTACAGCGAACAATTTTGACGACCGTAAGCCCCGTGGTAGACCTAGAAATGACATAGATAATCCATCTGTTACTATTAACGCCAATCTACAGCACTCCGGATCGACCAAGCAATTATCAGATTCAATTGTTCTAGAAACAGAGAACCCATCTCTTGATACTCCAGTAACAGATGCTCTAACTGTAGAAATGCCAGCTCAAGATAGTTCAATTAAGAAAACAGAAGAAAAAATGCATGAAATGCATGAAAATAGTGAAAAGAGTGAAAACTGCAAAAATAGTAAAGAATCAGAATCCAATGAGCAGGCGATAAACTCTCACGCTACTGTACATCTAGAGGCAAATAAAATCTCCATTAAGCTGTCAGAACCCACAGATGTGATCGAGCAAGAACCTGAGGAACCTGGAACTAAATCTCCTACGATAATAGATCCGTTTATCTCAGCTCAAAAATCCGCAAATAATTTACATGTTTCTGACAGCAATCAGTTCAATTTATCTGGGATCTCTCCCGAACCCAAAATTGCACCAACAAAGTTAAGTGAAGTATTTGAGAAATCTGAGAAGCCCGCCCATGAGAACTGTTCGCCGTATCCATCCCGGTCTAAAATTACCATAAAAAGAGAATTTACTGCTCCAGACCTAGATCATATATCCATTGATGCACCGTTTCAACCATCCAAAAAATCATCATTAAGTGCTGAGAAATATCCTGAGCAACCACGCTACTTCACAAGGTCAAAGCGAAAGAAATCTGAGAGCGATGATATACTAGATGAAGATGAAGAGCGCCACAAGAAAATTGCAAGGGCATTTGCTGCCAAAGTCCTCGAGGAAAATGATGAACTAAATTTATTGGAGTATTCATACCCGGCCGAAATTATTGCTGGTATAAATATACCTAAAACTTATTCTCAGGCTATAAATGATCCGAAGTATAATGAAGAGTGGAAATCAGCTATCGAGCAAGAAATAATCAGCCTAGTAGAAAATGGCACTTGGAAGGAAACCATTCCACCACCTGATGCAAACATGGTTTCTACAAAATGGGTCTTCACTATCAAACTTAACACAGATGGATCCATCGAGAGATTTAAGGCAAGATTAGTGGCCCATGGATTCAGCCAGATTCAAGGTAAGGATTATACGGAAACTTTTGCCCCGACCGTTCGAATGGACACTCTACGCATATTTCTCGCCAGGGTGGCAAGAGAAAATTTAGAGTGCAATCACTATGATATTAAAAACGCATTCACGGAATCTCATCTAAAAGAAAAAATATACCTATCCCCACCAAAAGGCGTCCCTGTTAAAAAGGGCCATGCGCTACAAGCATTGCGCAGCTTATACGGACTCAAACAAGCTGCAAGAGACTGGAATGTGCTCTGCAAAACCCATCTAGTACAATGGGGGTTTGTCCAAAGCCTTGCAGACCCATGTTTATTTATCCAAAAAGAGAGGCAAATTGAGTTACTTGTATACGTTGACGATATTGCTGCAGCTGCCAAGTCCACTAGTGAGCTAGACTGGTTCTTCAGTAAGCTCTCTTCTCGTTTCCATGCCAAGAATCTGGGGGAGATTGAAAAGATACTTGGAATGAGGGTAACGAGAAAGCGTATAGAACGTACCATCTTTATTGATCAAGAGCAATATTTGAGGTCGG